AAAAAAAAAAAAAATCATAGAAGGGAAACCTTCTGTGTTTCATAGGGGCAATGGATGCTGGTCAGATGTACTGAAGGATCTATTACAGTTAATAAGAAGCCAGCATATTTGAAGTGAATTTTCCTGGGAAGTATTTCCTCAGAGTTTCCACACAGAAGCTGTGGTCTAATGGGAAAAGGTCACATTTCAAGCTGGTAGTAGAACTTGACAATGTATAAGAATCTTCCACACGGTTTGAAGGTATGAAGGAGTCATAGAGAGAAATGGGGGCTGGGTACCATGTGGCAGAGTTTGGGTCCCCACAGAGAAGCCCTGGGAGGCCATTAGTGAAGAGGAAGTCTCGGTTTCCATAGAGACCCCAGGATACTGAAGATGCCAGGACCATGGGATGACCACGAAGGGCAGAGGCAGGCATGGAGTGCATCTGACATAAGCCTGCAAGAGAAGCTGTGTGGGCTGTGGATGACAGAGATGAAGAGGTGGAGCTACCTAAGGGCTTTGGAGCTCAGAAGAGCATAACTCAGTCCCAGATGTCAGGAGCTATTTCTGTTGTTGAGTTAGGATTTTGCTTTGATCTCATTACAACTCTGCCATGGTTTCCCCTTCTTGTAATAAGGAAGTGTACAACTTGTATTTGATTTTACAGAAGGCCATAGTTAAGAGACTTTGGATTTCAAAAAGATTGGGGCTTTTGAATCCACTTTTTTTTTTTTTTACTTTTGAAAATTTTCTTTTTTTTGAGACAGCTTGGTCTGGTCTAGAATTCATTATGTAGAATGGACTGGTTTTGAACTCAGAGAGATATGCCTGCCTTGGCTTCCTGAATGCTGGGATTAAAGGAATGTATTCTATGCCTGGCTCTGATTTAAAAAAAATGACTGTGGGACTTTAAAAGTTGTAATATATTTTCTCTTATGATATTAATGTAAGATCTTGGGAATAAGAAAAGGTTATGTCCTAACAGTGATATGTATATGTGTGTGTGTGTGTGTGTGTGTGTGTGTGTGTGTGTGTGTGTGTGTCAGAGACAGAGAGAGAGAGAGAGAGAGAGAGAGAGAGAGAGAGAGAGAGAGAGAGAGAGAGAGAGAGAGAGAAGGAGGAGGAGGAGGAATTTGACCAAAAGTGGACTTGTGGTGATGTTGTCAACTTTGACATGCCTGGAATCTCTAATGAAGAATTGCTCCATCAGATTGGCCTGTGGGCATGTCTGTGGCACATTTTCTGGATTGCTAATTGATAGAGGAGGGCACAGTCAATTGTGGGTGGTACTCTTCCTAGACAGGTAGGAAGCTGAACATGAGCCAGGAAGCAAGCTAATAAGCAGCGTTCTTCCATACTCTCCACTTCAGCTCCCGCCCTCAGGTTCCTGCCTTGAGTTCATGTCTTGGCTTCCCTGAAGATGGTTGGTAACCTGTGAGCCAAATAAACTTTCCCCTCCTGTGGTGGTTTGAATAAAATGCATTCCTCCCATAAGGAGTGGCACTATAAGGAGGTGTGGCCTTAAATTGCTTTTGGTTAGTGTTTTTTTTTTTTTTTTTTTTTTTTATTAGAACAATATAATATGGGAGTGGATGAGTAAAGAAATCCACTGAGATTCCAGCTTGTTGTTGTTGTTTTGTTTTTTGTTTTTTCAAGACAGGGTTTCTCCATGTAGTTTTGGTGCCTGTCCTGGATCTCGCTCTGTAGACCAGGCTGGTCTCTAACTCACAGAAATCCTCCTGGCTCTGCCTCCCGAGTGCTGGGATTAAAGGCATGCGCCATCACCACCCAGCTTGGTTGGTGTTTTATCACAGAAACAGAGAAGTTATCTAGAATAACTCCTTTGAACAGGAAACACATATTAACCACCTCTGTATCTGTCACATCATCACTGTGGCCACAGATTCATAACTGTTTTGTGAATTAAGCTATGGAAACAGCAAACTGCCGAGGCTCTGTCAGGGAGAAGCAGACGAGGTGAGAAGATAGGCCACAGAATGACAGCGTGGCTGTAGCTGTTTGTTATCCCAACCACAGTGAACGAGGCTCCCTCTTTCCCCACATCCTCTTCAGCATTTGTGAGGTTGGTTTCCCCCATCTTGACTGTGGTAGGATGAAAGGTGTTTTGATTTTCATTTCCCTAATCACTAAGGATGATGAACACTTTTTGAGACATTTCCGAGCCATTTTTATTTCTTCATTTGAGAACTTTCTGTTCAGGTCCCACGCCCATTTTTTTTTTTTTTTTTCTGCTAACAAGCGGATCTAGGATCTAGGGTGAGTCCCAAAGGGAGGGAGACTGGTTAGAACAAAGAAGAGCTAAACCAGACGGCATTAGAACTGGAGATCTTTGGGTCTGCACCACATGTTAGATAGTGCTCGAGTCCGTGGTAGGAAATCCGGTTTTTTCACTCTTCAAGACAGAGAAGATTGCCGGGCGGTGGTGGCGCACGCCTTTAATCCCAGCACTTGGGAGGCAGAGGCAGG